CGGTCAGGGCTGGGAGGCAGCTGGAGCAAGGAAATGCTGCTGCTGCTCTTCCCCACGCCCCCCCCCCCGTGGCCCTTTCCCCTTCCCCCACTCAGACTTTCCTGGGGTTGGGGCGGTGGGCATGTGTGCGTGCATGCTCAGTTGCCCCCAATTTTTTTTCTTCCTCCACCCATGTTGAACAAGCTTTAGTTTAAAGTGCCCCACCACCAGTTTTCAGCACAGGGACACTGGTGCACATGATGCTGGGGGTTGCTGGAGCAAGCAGGCTCCTTGCAAATGTATAGGAGCCCTCAGTTTCTCTTGTATTCAATCCCGGTGTTTCTTGTCCTGTTCAGACAACTTTCTGTTGAATCTTTATTCATGTTCACTCATCTAGGTTTACTGATTATGGCCATGTTCTTATTTTACAGATTTGGCAGCACCAATTTGTCTGCCAAACCCTGGAATGATGTTCCATCCTAATCAGTCATGCTGGATATCTGGATGGGGAGCCCTACAACAAGGAGGTAAGATGTGTAGCCCTAAAAGGTGGGGACAAAGAACTAGTTTGTTTTCATTTTCTGTCTAGTCAAATAAATAGCATTGCCAAATGACAAGACCAGCTTGCTTGCCTCAAGTAGATGTCACTGCACTGCATACAGTTTAGAGGGGAGCCTGCTTAGCCCAGCTTGCTTATGCTTCTGAGGGTGCTGCTGGCCAGGGCCAGTTTTGCTATGCAGATGTGGCCATACAAGCAGTAACAGTTTGCCGAGTCAACATTTCTGGTAGTGTGGCGACGCTTGTAATACGTATTTGCAAATTCAGCTAATGTTTATATTGGGGTATAAGGATTATCACAGAGCAGGGAACATAATCTTGGTAGTGTAGCAATAGAAATCTTCTCAGTCCCTCTGTTATTGGCAGAGACTTTAGTGACCATGGGCCCTATTTTTGTGATGGCGTAGCAGCGTGCACTCTACAGGAGTTCCTTCATGTGTATGAGTTGTATTTGATGGGGATATGGTCAGCATGGTATAAACTCTAGGCTGAATACCCTCCTGCTCTTCCCATCTTAAAGCTGAGACAGCAGTGTCACAGCAGCATGATTCAAAGGGAGAAGTGAAGCTTCTTGGGCATGGAAGATCTTGGGTAGTGATGGGGGAGGAGGAGACAGCTGATTCCTCTGCTGCCTTACCTAATCATGAGGTTGCTTGGAGTTGCTGCAGGGGTTCTCCTCTCCATCTTTGTAGGCCCACTCTCTTCTATAGCCCTGTAGATAACATCATGGATCACAGCTGTGATGGCAGCTGTATGTGTACAGCTGGTTGAAATAAGTTCTCATCCTCTTAGAGGGGCACTGAAAACTCCTTTGGTTTTTTGTTATATTGAACAGTGAACTTCAGCATGCATCCCAAAGCAGTATTGACTTGTTTTTGATCGGGGTGCCATTGCAAGCTACTCTGGCTTTTTCCCATTTGCTCCAGTTCCTTTATGCATCTGCATGTTCCAACTTTAGGTAAAACCTCAAATTTTTTGAATGCTGTGATGGTGCCTTTGATAGAGCGTTCCAGATGTAACGCTAGGTTCGTCTATAATGGCCTCGTTTTGCCTACTATGATATGTGCTGGATATCTAGAAGGACTAATTGATTCCTGTCAGGTAATAACACCACTCATATTATTAACAGCTTTTTTTTAAATTTTTTTTATTTGAGCATCTCCTAGGGAGGGCATTACAGTAGTGGCTATGAACAAGTCTTATGAAAAAGAAAACTCACTGACCTTTCTTTGCAACA